ATATTTTATTGATTTTCTACAGAGAGGAAGGGAGAGGGACAGAGAGTTAGAAACATCGATCAGCTGCCTCCTGCACACTCCCCACTGGGGATGTGCCCGCAACCAAGGCACATGCCCCCGACCGGAATCAAACCCGGGACCCTTGAGTCCTCAGGCCAATGCTCTATCCACTGAGCCAAACCGGTCAGGGCCTGAGTCTTATTTTTGAATGTAATTAATCTGTATTATTTTTTTAAATATATATTTTTTATTGATTTCAGAGAGGAAGGGAGAGGGAGAGAGAGAAAAAACATCAATGATGAGAGAGAATCATTGATCGGCTCCCTCCTGTACCTCCCTCATTGGGGATAGAGACGCAACCCGAGCATGTGCCCTTGACCAAGAATCAAATCATGACCTCCTGGTTCACAGATCGACGCTCAAACGCTGAGCCATGCTGGCAGGGCTGTATATATATATATATATATATATATATATATATATATATATATATTTTTTTTTTTAATAAGAGAAAGATTTTTTAAATAAGATCTGAAGCCTTATTTTTTAATAAGTTTTTATTTAGAAAGTTACAGAGTTAGTAGAAATGAGCCCGCTGGGCTGCGTAGGCTCAGGAAACAAGTTACAGAAGCCAAAGAAGAGCCCTTGGAGCTTAGAGAAAAAGGCAAAGGTAATGCACCTGGTGGAGAAGAGAGCGAGGAAGGAGAAGTGCAGGCAAGCTCCTGAGAGGGAGATCGCTGGTCTGGAGTCTTGATTTTGTTGTCCCAGGTTTCAATTCTGTTAGTCTGAAGCAGTGGTAGGCAAACTGTGGCTCCCGAGCCACATGTGGCTCTTTGGCCCCTTGAGTGTGGCTCTTCCACAAAATAGCGACTTCTGCACATGGGCCACAAAATTTCTATCGCACTGTACATGCGTGCCCGCACGTGGTATTTTGTGGAAGAACCACACTCAAGGGGCCAAAGAGCCGCATGTGGCTCACGATCCTCAGTTTGCCGACCACTGGCTCTGAAGAGTTAGAACATACCCATTTTTATTGATGTTGTGTGAGATCGTGTGTGCGTATGGGGTACACAGCATTCTCAATGACTTGTGCCTGAGGGCAGGCCTTCTTTTCCTGCTGGAGAATAGCATGACCAAAAACAGGGAGAGCAGGAATGTCTGAAAAAGTGGGTATGATTGGAGCCTAAGGTCCCCCACTCCCAACACCCCCCCACCCCCCACCCCCCTACCCCCATAAAGGGGGCTGCAGATCAGACAGGCTGGGGGTGCGGGGGCCAGGTCTCAGTGGGGAACTTGCCAGACCTTAAGCTAGAGAGTAGCAAGGTCAGGTCTTCATTTTTAAGAGTTCCAGCAGGAAAAAGGAGGAATACGGTGGTAATCACCGGAATTATAGTGGCTTTCCCAAGCTCCTATGGGCAACTATTGGGACCTGAATCCGACTGCCCCCCGCCCCCCCCCCCCCCCCCCCCGCACTGTGGGGCCACTACCACAGGACCAACGTCTGTGAGAAACATCTCCAGAGTCTGGAAACCTCTGCAAAGAACCTGGCCAATCTGGTAGCCCTGGCCTTGTAGCAGGGTTGCATCTTTCCCATCCTCTTCCTTCTCCCCAAGCCCATAGGCAGTGGTTCTCAACCTTCCTAATGCCGCGACCCTTTCATACAGTTCCTCGTGTTGTGGTGACCCCCAACCATAAAATTATTTTCGTGGCTACTTCATAACTGTAATTTTGCTACTGTTATGAATCACCATGTAAATATCTGATATGCAGGATGTATTTTTCATTGTTACAAATTGAACATAATTAAAGCATAGTGATTAATCACAAAAACAATATGTAATTATATATGTGTTTTCCAATGGTCTTAGGTAACCCCTGTGAAAGGGTCGTTCGACTCCCAAAGGGTTGCGACCCACAGGTTGAGAACCGCTGCCATAGAGGGTTAATTAACTTGACTAGAAAACCTCACAGGCTTTTGGCAGGTGCTGGCGCTCACCGCTAGATGGCAGCCTCAGCCCTGAAACCCCAGGGGCTTCCACCCAGAGACTGGAGGGAAGGAACGGACACAGCGAGGATACGCGACCACCCTCTCGGGCGTGCATCGTTATCTCTGTTTTTACAGTTGAGAAAACTAAGCGTCCAAGAGGTGAAGCCACTTTCCAAAGTCTCATAGGTAAGCAGACACGATAGAGCTAACTCTGCTTCTCTGACCTCAGTTTCCTTACCCTGAGATGAAACTGACCCACCTCTGGCAACACTAATCTCCTTTCCGTCTCTATAGATTTGTCTAACCTGGACATTTCACGTAAGTGGAATCAGACAGTATGATTTTTGTGGCCTTTTGTGTCTGGTTTCGTTCACTTGGCATCATGTTTTCGAGGCTCATCCATGTGGAAGCATGTTTCAGCGCTTCATTCCTTTTTCATGGCGGAATAATATTCCATCGTGTGGGCACACATATGTTTCTCCATTCATCAGTTGGTGGACATTTGGGTTGTTTCTGCTTTTTGGTTATTTTGGGTAATGTTGCTGATCATTCATGTACACGTTTTTGTGTGAACATGTGTTGTCAGTTCTCTTGGGTATATACTGGTATCTAGGAGTAGGATTCCTGGGTTGTCAAACTGTTTTCCAAAGCGGCCGCACCAATTTACATTCCCACTAGCAATGTAGGAAGGTTTCAATCCCTCCACATCCTGGCCAAACGCTTGTTATCGTCAGTCTTTTTGGTTATAGCTATCACAGTGGGGGTGAGTCTTGTTGTGGTTTTTATTTTCATTTTCCTAATGACTGATGATGTTGAACATCTTTTTATGTGCTTATTTGGTCTCTGTGTATCTTCTTTGGAGAATTGTCCATTCAAATTCTTTACCTTCTCAGTACATTTTGGTAATATGCTAAACACACACACACACACACACACACACACACACACACACACACATTCACATACCATCCCAGATTTACTTCAGCCATCACAATGGCCCTATGAGGCAGCCATTTCTCAGGTGAAGGAATTGAGGCCCAGAGTAGTGCAATGCTATGCTCCAAAGCACACAGCTTAAGGAGTGTCAGGCCCAGAATTTTTATTTAACAAACATTCAGGTCGTATTTACTATGTGTCAGTCCAGAGAACCCATGAACCTCACATTGCAACAATTTTCCGGTAAAAGTATTATTATCACTAACAGAGCTATTCTGAAGTAGCCACTTGTTTCTTTTTTTAAAAAAAATAACCTTTTCTCTTCAGTTATCAAAGGAATGCATGCTTATTGTAGAATAGGCAGAAAAACTATACAGAGAAGCACAAAGAAGACGGAGCAAAGATATCCCTTCCTTCCTTCCCACAGCTCCAATATGGCTTCTCTCTGATTTTGGATCCGTGTGAACAGGTGATACACTGGGGAGCCCCGAACAGGAGATCTGTGCCTTCGGGAAGCTAATATGCAGCTTTCTGTATTTTGTTTGTTTGTTAATTCTCACTGGAGTATATTTTTTCCATTGATTTTAGAGAGAGTGGAAGGGAGGGGGGTAGAAAGGAGAGAGAGAAACATCGATGTGAGACCCACATCAATTGGTTACCTCTCCCATGTGCCCCACCTGGGTGGGGAACCTGCAACCCAGGTACAAGTCCTTGACAAGAATCAACCCTCAAAATCTTGGGTTTGAGGGCCGATATTCTAACCACTTGGCACACCACCAGGGCAGCATTTTGCATTTGATCTGTAGGACTTTGAGGGAACGTGAGGCGTTTTTCAGGAGAAGATACACCAGAGATGAGGAAGGTTGCTATGGGGGCTTTGCCAGGGCGTTGGGCCTGACTGGGACAGGGCTTCTTCCTTCACCATCTGTGCAACCTCAGGCAAGTCACTTAATATCCCCCAAGCCTTGTTTTTTCTTCTGGAAAATGGGACTATGCATCCCTAACTTATCTAGTTGTGGGCACACTGTCCATGCCCAACAATGTCTGCAGCACTGGAACCCCTGATTCATTGGCAGGACTTACCCTCCTTTACATGGGTATCTTATTTAAAATGCCTCAGTGCCTTGGGAGACAGATCTGAGTTCTGATCCTGGTTTCATCTTTAATCAGCCCTCAGTCAAGTCCTTTTACTAGTACATTTTTGAGCCTCATTTCCTCATCTGTCCAAATTGTCGCTATGTTATAGGGTAGTTGGGAGGTTTCAACATAATGCATGCGAAGTACCTGTCTGAGTGCTTTACACTGAGAAAGTGCTTGGGAAATATTAGCTACTAGAGGCCCGGCGCACGAACTGGTGCACCAGTGGGGTCCTTCAATCTGGCCTACGGGATCGGGCTGAAACCGGCTCTCTGACATCCCCCGAGGGGTCCTGGATTGTGAGAGGGTACAGGCCAGGCCGAGGGTACCCCACCAGTGCACGATCAGGGCCGGGAAGGGACACAGGAGGTTGGCCAGCGGGGGGAGGGACCACGGGAGGGCTCCAGGGTGTGTCGGGCGGCCTTGCTCAGTCCAGATCAGCAGGACTCCAGCAGCAAGCAACCTACCAGTCGGAGCGTCTGCCCCCTGGTGGTCAGTGCACATCATAGCAAGCGGTTGAGCGGCCTTAGCATATCATTAGCATATTACGCTTTGATTGGTTGAATGGATGACCAATGACTGGACACTTAACATATCAGGCTTTTATTATATAGGATTACCACCATCCTCACTGACTTATTAGCGATTACCACCATCCTCAAGCCCTGTATGTCTGGCACTCCCCAGGAGGAGGGCGCAAAGGTGAAAACAGAGCCTGGGTCCTGCTCTCAAGGGGTTTGACGTTTCACTGGATTTCTAAATTCAGACTCCTCGCTCCTGCCACTCTACCATTGGCGTTGGGCCTTGACGGATGGATCAGATTTGAGCACATGGGGATGGAAGGGAGGAGAGGCCTTGTGGATATGAAGCCATGTCAGCAAAGCCTGGGAACTAAGAAAGTGTGGAGCATGTCAACATTAAGTAACGTCCAAACCTGTAGAGAATTTTTATGAGTTTATTTGAGCCAAAGTCACAGCATCTGCTGGGGAGCCAGATTTCAAATGCTCCGGAGAATTAGAGTTTTGCAGCTTCTTTTGTGCATGTGAACGTCCGTGGAGATGAAAGAAAGCAACAGGGGGCTTGGACTTAGATTATAGGATGGTTAGCAAGATTCTGTGCTCTCTTGAGGGTTAATACCCCCTTCCAGGGGTATTGCATCTGGTTGAGATTAAAAGTGTGTTTACCTAGATGCCCAACAAAAATGGACAGGACTTGCTTAAAACCTTTCACTAAAGAAGCCACAAGTTTGGGGCATGACTACCCACCATGACCTGCCCAGTTAGAAATTTATGATCAGATCACCCTGTGAGGTTACTCTCCATAGAACCCCCTTTTTTTCATCCACAGGTATGAATGAAAAACTGCAAGTATTTTATTTTTGAAATATTTCTTTTACTTATTTTTTTAATATATTTTTATTGATTTCAGAGAGGAAGGGAGAGGGACAGAGAGCTAGAAACATCAATGATGAGAATCATTGATTGGTTGCTTCCTGCACACGCCGCCCCCCCCCCCCCCCCCCCCCCAGAGATCAAGCCTGCAACCCGGGCATGTGCCCTTGACTGGAATCGAACCCGGGACCCTTCAGTCTGTAGGCCGACGCTCTATCCACTGAGCCAAACCAGCTAGGGCAAACTGCAAGAATTTTAGTTTGATTCCATGTGGGGCCTCATCTGGTTCATCTCACACAAACTTTAGCTAAAATATAAGTACCCACTATGCGTGCACTCCTCTGAGGATTTTATATCCAGTACCTTATGGATCCTCACAGGAAAGGAAAATGTCACTCTTGCCATTCCCATTGCAAAGATGAGGAAGCTGAGGTTCAGAGAGGTCCAGCAGCCGGACCAAGAATATAATGCTAGGGGTGAGTGGGGCAGGAATTCAAGGTCAGGGAGACAGACTGCAGATCTGTGCCCCCACACCTTCTGCAGGAACCAGTTCCCAGGCAGTGAAACTCTAAAGCCAGCCCCAGCGGGCCGAAACTCAACCGCAGAGAGCTGGCTCTCAGCCCCCTCGCTGGCTCCCTGCTTTGGTCTCAGCCCCACCCTGCCACCCCCATTTCCTTTCCCGGCCCTGGGGCTCTGCCTCTTCCCCAAACCTGCTCTGCGACAATTTCGTCCAGGTTCCCACATCTGTAAAATGGGAATAAAAAGAGTGCCCGTCTCAGAGGGGTGTTGTAAGGATCAGGGGAGATGCCCAAGAGCTTGAAGCCTGGCACACAGTAGGTTCTCATAAATATTAACCGCCACCAATTTATATTTTTTCTGTCTTTAAGATTTTACCACCACCATTTACATAGTGTCTCTCAAGTCCTGTGAATTAGGCCGAGAGTGAGAGCATTACCCACATTTGATGGTTGAGAAGTGAAGAAGCAGTTCGTCCAGGGTCACTCAGCCAGAAAGAGTGGGACTTGACTCTGGGCCTCCTGGCCATTCTTTGCTGGGAAGTGAATCATAAAGTCAGTATTTATTACTCACCTTCTGCATGCAAAATCAGGCCCTGGATACTAAGGGGCATTCAGGGAGCGTTCCCACCTATCCTTTGAGGTTGAAAGGGCAAGAGACTGGTAAAGGGGAGGCAGTCAAGGAAGGCTTCCTGGAGGAGTTGAGGTTTAAGCTGGGCCTTGAAGGACCAGCAGATTATGTAGACTGGAGTAAAGGGGTCTGTGTACTGGAGATGGCAGAGATGTAAACACAGCAGCCACTCCTTCGAGGTTCCTTATGAACCAGGCTCTATGCCGACAGCTTTCCATGCATCGCTTCATGAAATCTCCCCAGAATCCGACAAAGTGGTTGATACTGGGAATGAGAAAAGCTTGGCTCAGGGAGTTTACAAAACTTGTCTAGGGTCACACAGCTAGTAACATGATAGGGCCTGGGTTGAAACCCAAGGCTGTCTACTGCAAAGTTTGGGCTCTTAATCATCACACATTATTGCCACCTCGGCCTCATATCTGAGGATGAGGACTAGGTATTCAGCTGGGGACGGACTCTGAAGGGCTGTAACATGCCAGGCTCAGACATGCAAAAGCCACACAGCACCAGGCGGGGTCGGCAGCCCTGGAATTCAGCAGCAGCTTCTAGCAGCACTGCCATTCGATAGCCAAGGTCACTTCTCTGAGCCTCCGCATCTCTAAACTGGAGAGAAGAGGAACATAAAAGTATTATCAACGGTGAAGGTTTTGAATGAGGGAGGGAGGCTCTTGTAACAAAAGGTTTGTTTAGGAAGAAACCTGGAGATATTCAAATATTTACTGAGTGTTGGGCTCCGGGAAGACAATTGTGAACAAGACAGCTCTGCACGCTGGACCCCCACCCACCCCCACCCATGCCTACAAGGGGCAGGGCACAGCTTGGGAGAGTTGGGGAGGAACCTTTTACTGGAACAAACAAGGGCTCAGGAGCTGGCCTGTCCCGGATTAGACTGCTAGACTCAAATCAGCAAATCTCTCCACGTTACCCCGCCTCTCAGACTATGTCTCCATCTTCACCAGGAAGATCCTCATTCCTCTTCCCAGGATTGCTGGGTTAAATAAAATAAAACAATACAGCCCTGGCCGGTGTGTTCAGTGGTTAGAGCACCAGCCTGCACATCAAGGGTCGTGGGTTCGATTCCAGTCAGGGGCATGTACCAGGGTTGCAAAGTGCAGGAGGCAACCACTAGGCAACCAGTCCACGTGTCTCTCTCCCCATCCTTCCCTCGCTCCCTTCCACTCTCCCTGAAAAGCAATGGAAAAAATACCCTTGGGTGAGGATTAACCAAAAAATAAATTAATAATAATAACAACAAATACATGCAATTATCTAGCAGGCGCTCAATGGATGTTACTATCCCCCTATTAAGAGGTGTAACTGTTAGGCTCCGTCCCTCTCCTGCCAAGAAAGAGAACAGATTCCTGGCTTGCATTTTAGTGCGGAAAAGGATAGGCCTGCATCCATGCTAGCTGAGCAGCCATGCCACCTGACAAACAGTCCTCCAGCCTGGGTCCTGTGCTGCCGTCTGGGCTCACGTCAAGACTGTTCCCGCCCCACCCCAGGGACCCGGGCGCACCCCCGAGCGCTCCATACCCGCGGCCGCTCCTTCTTTCCCCCAGGACCGCCCCCCTGCTCTGCGCAGCGGGTGTGGCTGTCCCTTTAAGCAGCAAAACTCCTGCTGCAATCGCCGACCGGGGACCGGTCCTTTCCGGAGGGTGGAGCCTATATTTGTTGCAGCGACCAACGGAAGCGCGGCATTTTCCGCGGGAGATCCGAATTTCGCGGCACGCAGTTTGGCGCTAAAAAAAAAAGAAGAAAAAAAAAGTGGCGGAGAAAGACGCGGGTGCTGCACAGCGAGGCGAGAGCGAGTCGGTGCCATCGGTCCCCTCCCCGTCCGAGCGCATCGCCTCTCCGTGGAGCCCGCGGGCGCGCCGGAGACCCCTGCCCGGAGCCAGCCGGACCCCGGGCGCCGAGGCCCTCCGGGGCGCGGGGCCGTGCCGGGTGGCGGCCGCCCTCGGGGCGGGGCAGCCCCTGGCGCTGCGGCCGCCGCTATCTCCACCGCGGGGCGATCTCCGAGCCGGGATCTCCCAGCGCCGGGCCGCGGGCCAGGAGGGGAGGGTCCGGCCTTGCCCCGCAGGCGTCCATTGGCGGCCTCCCCGGGCCTCCGCTCCATGCCCCGGGCCGGGTGAGCCGCCGCCGCAGGCTCCCGAGCGCGCCGGTGCCCGCGGGCGCGCCTGGGGAGGGGGCTCCGCGCTGGCCATGCTGCGAGGGCCCCGCGCCCCGGCCCCGGCCGCTGCGCTGCCTCTGAAGGGGCTGCCCGCCTTGAGCCCCACCGAACTGTGGCCGCCTGGCCTCGGCAGCCCCCAGCTCTGCCCGGTCACCACCACCTACTACACCTCGCTGTACCCGCAGACTGTGCCCCCCGCTGCGGTGCCCGGCACCTGCCTGGACGCCACCCCCCACGGACCTGAGGGCCAAGCTGTGCGATGCGTGCCGGCTGGCCGGCTGCCGGTAATTCTGGGGACCCCGTGCACCTCTTCCCGCTGTGCTTTCCGGGTGTGGGAGAGGAGGGAGGGGCGCCTGGGACCCAGTGTGAGTGGAGCTGGTTGAGTCTGGGGAGGGAGAAGGGGAGCTCTCAGATTCCAGAACCATCCAGGACCCCCACGGGAGAAGAGCCCTTCATTTTCAGGCGTGGGGATGAAATAACCTCATCCACCGGAATGGAGTGGAATGAGCACGACTCGGAGTGTGGAGACCCAACCCACTATCCCGAGTGCACCCTGTGACCTTGGGGAAGTCCAGGGAGCCAGCTGTGCGTCATTCATTCATTCTTCTTCATTCATTGTTGGGCCCAGAAACCAGTACTGGGCACCTGCTGTGCTGGCACAGAGCTAGGCCTGCGGATGCTGTAGGGACTTTAAAGTGTGTGTGTGTGTGTGTGTGTGTGTAGGGGAGGGGTTGATGGGTGGCGGGGGAGGGGGGGTTGTCTCTCAGGTCCAGTATGGCTTGGAGAGAATCCAAATTTCCCATCCAGCCAACTCCTTCCCAATTATCTACCCTGGGTGCTCCCCCAGGCCCAGTTTTCCCTCCCAGACAGCCAGTAGCAGGTGCAAGTTGGGGGCAGCTCCCTGTTCGGATTGACTGTTGCCTCCTCAAGCCCCCAAGCCCGCTGCCAGGGAGGGCCCAAAGTGAGGTGGCATGAGGCACAGGATGTGTTTTGTGGGAGGGGAATTCCTGGATGGAGTCCATGAGAATCTAAACAACCATCCGGTGAGGGTGGAGTGGGAAAAGCCCCAGGGGAATGCGAGGGGGGTGGGGGGGCTTGGAGAGCCTGGTTTCTGGTTTTAACTGCCACCAATTCACTGTGTGTCCTTGGACAAGTCCTAGCCCCAGCCTGGGTTCAGTTTCATTTTCTGGAAAATGTGTGTGTGCTAACTCATCTCAGGCCACTTCCAGCTCCAGGTCCTGGGTTTTGGAAGCAGGCCCCAGGGAGGGGGTGTTGTGGGTTGGCTTAGTTGTGAGTGGTAAATACGGTCAGGTACAGGGGTCAGGTCATGCCCTAGAGCAGCAGTTCTCAACCTGTGGGTCGCGACCCCTTTGGCGGTCGAACGACCCTTTCACAGGGGTCACCTAAGACCAGGGGTCCTCAAACTACGGCCCGCGGGCTACATGCAAATACAAATATTGTATTCGTTCCCGTTTTGTTTTTTGATATCTTATATCATAATAAGATATGTGCAGTGTGCATAGGAATTTGTTCATAGTTTTTTTTAAACTATAGTCCGGCCCTCCAACGGTCTGAGGGACAGTGAACTGGCTCCCTGTTTAAAAAGTTTGAGGACCCCTGCCTAAGACCATCCTGCATATCAGATATTTACATTACGATTCATAACAGCAGCAACATTACAGCTATGAAGTAGCAACGAAAATAATTTTATGGTTGGGTCACAACATGAGGAGCTGTAGTTAAAGGACCAGAAGGTTGAGAACCACTGCCCTAGGGGCATCTGGTCAGACCTGTGCCCGTCAACAGGCACAGAACCCTCGCCATTGCTGGATGCAGGCAGGGCCCCAATTCTCTGCTACTGGAATCATGCTTTGCCTGTTTTCAAGGCCTTCATCTTCCCAGAGTCCCTTCCTGCCTGCCATGTCCAACAAGGAGGAAGGAGAGCTATTTTCATTTTACAGGCCAAGCAGCCAAGGATAACTAGGGCTGGGTGTCTATCTTGTGTTCAGCATTTTACAGCCTAACCCAGATTTGAACCCTGTGAAGTAGATGGCATTAGTAGCTCCCTGTCACAGGGGGAAATTGAGGCTCCTGTCCAAGGCCATACAGGGATGTGTGTGACCCACAGGCAGGCGATCCTTTGCCTTCTCGGAAGACCGCTTTCCCCAGGAAGGGGCTTAGTGGCTGGCCCAGTCTCCTCTGGCCAGCTGCGTACAGGCACCCAGGCGGAGTTTCAGTAACAGCTGCGGTTTTGAACTGCTTCCCTCCCAAAGGAGCCTGGGTGCATCTGTTTGTACCTCCCTCTCAGAGGGGCTCAGTAATCACAGCCAGAATGGCTCTCTTTCACTGACAGCCTGTTGTGTGCCAGGCACTGCTCGTCACTCTTCACATTCGTTATCTTGGCCAAGATGCCTGGGATGAGGAAACTGAGCGGAGACGCGAAGTCACCTGTCCAAGTGACAAGCCAAGGGGTGGGAGAGTCTCCTTGCATCAGACCACCCTAAAGGCTTACCAGGCCCAGCACCCCCTCTCCTGTCAGTCCTCAGATGCCTAGTGCCCACAGCCCTGTGGGCAGGCCTTGGCCCCCTGCTTACTCATTTTACCAGGGTGTGACCTGGAGCAGCTCCAAACCCAACCCTGGGTGTGGCCGCTTGCTTTGTGGCCAGGCTGCAAAGTGCAGGGTGAGCAGGATTTGTCAGTGAGCTGCTGTTTAAAGGGAACCTCAGGCACTGCCCTGAGATGGCAACCACGTTCACTGGCAGAATGAAGGCCAGAGCCCAGGACTCTGCGCTCACTGTCTAGTGCTTTTGTCGGTGGCGTCCCTACTCCAGCCAAGCACACCGCATCATCGCCTTTCATCCCCGAGGGAACCTGTGAAGAGGGTGGGGTTCCGCACTGTTCTCCTTTCCCTTTAATTTCTCGATATTTTCCCAGTTTCCTCTGAGAACCATGAAAGAAAAGGAACATTTTAACCAACAACCCTACAAGACGGGTCGGAGGAGGAAATAAATGTCGGCTCAGAGAGGCGAGGCAGCGAGTCCCAAGCTGGGATCTGGAAGTGAGGCTCTCAAGCAAGGCCTCACACTTGCTCCTACCTGCAGTGTCTAACTTCGGGCTTGGGGCTGAGGAGAGGCCTGGCTCTACTCCCTGTGTGACCTTGGGCAGGTCGCTTCTCCTCCGCTCCTCCTCGCCTTGCTGGCTGTGTCTAGCGGGCTCTGGCCTGAGAAAGGAGCCTGGTCCTCTGCCTTGGGATTGGCTGGGTGGCCTCTAACCTTAACCAGGCCTTTAAGAAACAGCCCAAAGGGCTGCCCACGAGGGTCCAGGCTAGAGCCAAGCTGGCCGCTGGGCGTGGTTCCAGACTTTTGCTCTTGGCACGTCCCTGTCTTTTCAACTTACCTCTGAACTTTCCCCCTTCTGCTGCTCCTGGCGCTGTAGTGATAGCACCTCCCCTGCGTGAGCAAAGCACTTTGCTGCACTGTCTCACGGAATCCTGAGCAGAGGTTGAGCAGCTTAGCTCCATTTCACAGGTGGGACTCAAGAAGTCAACTGACTTGGCCAGCTAAGAAGTGGGGTGGGAGGGCTAGATGGGGACCCAGGTGCATCTGACTCCAAGGCTTGTGCTCAGCCTCTCCTTGGCCCTCATCCTTCTGGGCTTGTCCTCTGCCACGTGTGTTCTGCAGGCTCAGGCCCACCCATGAGCTGACCTTGCCCTGGACATGCATAAAGGTGACATGTCCTCGGGTGAGGGACACTTTGCTGCTTAGGGACTCTGAGAATGCAGGATAAGGGTGAGAGAAGGGAGAGGACTTGTGTGTGTAAAAGTGATGGGGTGTAAAAGGGTATAGGCAGGCCTTGGCCCAAATTTCAGCAGATTCTGAGGGAATGTGTGTGGGATGGAGCGGAGGCAGCCTGGTGCATGGCTTTGGAATCAGACAGACCTGGGTTCAAGCTCTGGCTCTGCCCTTTGGCTGTGTGACCGTGGGCACATGGCGAACCTCTCTGAGTCTCCACTTCTCTTCCAAGAGAGATTGCCAATACTGATGTTGCAGGACTGATGAGCGCGTGATAGGCCGGCAAGGTACTCTGTTCAAGGTCCTCCCTCCTTCCCATCTGCAGGTAGTGGGGTTCTTCCCGGTATGTTCTCAGCAGGGCTGGCCCCTGTCTGGTAGGAGGTGGGGGTGGGGGGGAGATTCTGGCTTGCCCTACCTCTGCCTCAGGGAGAACTCAGCCTGGCTTCCCTTCTCCCTGCCCTTGGCATTCCTTTGGAGGAATGGATGAAGGATTCTGGGATCAATAACTTTTATCTGGATTGACAAAAGGCCTTGGAGCTCACCAAGCCTCAGTTACTTCAGCCATAAGATGAGGATTAGTGGTGTTGGTAAGATTGAGTGAAGTGAGGAACGCGGGGGCACTAGAGGCAAGATGGGGCCAGAGAAGGTCACCTTCCCTAGAATCTAGGATGTCACTAGCTGGGAGGTTAGAAAAGGAATATTCCAGAGAGACTTAAAGAGGAGTGAGCAGGGAGGCATTTGGATTATGTCCAGGTCTAGGTAGGTGTGGAGGAGAGAAACTGAGGAGCAATGCTCCTCACACCAATGCAAGAAGACTTCCTGGAGCAGGTGGGGGCGGGGGAGGGGGCACCCCGAGGGGAGCTTAGAGCTAGAACTGTCATCAGCTCTCACACCTGTCAGCCCAGCTGTGCTCAGCAGCGGTTAGAAGTCTCCACCCTGCCGAGCACGACCCCACCACCAAAGGTTAAAATAGGCCTCTCTGCTCCAACCGGGGTAAGGGTGACTGGGGGCGGGGAGAGGGAGAAAACGGGCGCAGCGACCTCCAGAAGCGTGTGTGGAGAGGCTGAGATTGGGTTTTGGAGAAGGCACTGCATTCCCGAACATCCACTGTGTGCTGAGCCACAGGCTGAGCGCTCTTTCTGCCCCATTTCACGAAGGAGGAAACAGGTCCTGGGTGTGGAGCATTTCTCCACGTCACACGGCTCCCCTGAGAAGGAGCCGGGAGATGCAAGCCCAGGTCTCTGACCCCCGTGTCCCAGTGCCCCAGTGCCCTAGCCCTGCCCCTGCCCAACCCTAACCGGGAGAGAGGCCCCTTCCGGGCCAGTTCAGCTTCTGGGCCTAATGGGGCCGGGTGGCAGTGGGGTGTAGAGGAGCAGATGGGTCTGTGGTTTGATTTCCCCAGCAGGTGTTTCCCAAGCTTGGCAGGAACAGGGAGGGGGAGCAGGGGACCTCAGCTGCTTGTCCTTAAGACACAGGGGAAGGATTCATTGTCTGCCCCTCTCCACAAAGAAAGAATGGCAAATGGAGTCTATTCAGGAGGCCCTGGGCCCTTGAGCTGGAACCCAAACATGGGGTGGGGGATGTTTGCACTGCTTCCCAATGCGGGCACCTCCCTGAGGTGTGGCACTGATCCAGGAAGTCCCCTGGGCCTGGGTGGATGCCCAGCCCCACCCTGATAAGGGCCAGCTGTGGGGCTGTGATGGGCACCCACTGTGGCTGCACCAGCTGCTTCTGCAGAGCGGGGGGGAGGGAGTGCTCTCCCCAGTCTGATGTGGTTTAGGCCCCACCCACTCCTTCCTGCATCATCCTCTGTGCGTGGGGGAAGGGGCAGATGTGGAAGTGACCTTGTGGCCTGTTATTAAGGAACTCTGAGCTCTTGGCTTTGGTAGGGTCTCAAGTGCCTTGGGCCTCAGAGGATGGGAGTGTTGTGTGCCTCTCAGAAAATAGGACGTCCTTCCCTTGAAAGGTCACTTTTAAGGTCATTGATATTTCCTTACCAAGTACAGTGATGTTTCAGCAGGATTGGTGGTAAACTGAGGCAGAAAGTGGCTGCTGCTGGCCTCAGTGCTTTGGCCCCAGGTTGGGAAAAGACTGAGGAGGAATGATTCTCAAACTCTGCCTCTCCCTCCCATCTCTCTCCAAGGCCAAAAGGAAGCTGGACCTGGAGGGCATCGGGAGGCCTGCGGTCCTGGAATTCCAGACTCCCAAGGGGAAGCTCATTAGAGTGGATGGCCTCCCCAGCCCTAAAAGTAAGTTTGCTGATGGGGCATCTGGGGGCAGACTCAGGAGACAGGGGTGGGGTGGGCAGGGGCAGAGGGCAGCAGCCCTGCCCAAATCATCAGGAGTAATATTTGTAGCACACTTCCTGGTGTATACAACGGTTCCCTGTGTGTTCTCTCACTGGGTCCTGCCAGGTAGGTAGGATCACCCCTCTTTTACTGATCAAACAACCTGAGACCCAGAGCTAGAGTGTCTTGCCCAAGGTCACTCTGCTGGTAAGTGGAGTCACACTATACACTGCTCTTGGGTTCCAAACATGACGACCAGCGATTTGTTTGGGAACTTACCATTTCTGTTTGTATTTAATTCAGTCTGACCTTTTCTAAAAGAGAGAATCCAGCTCAGGGAGGAGCAGCGTGTTCCTCCCACCTGCAGACAGAGAGCTAACTAAGTGGTGCAAAGGGGAGTGAAGCTCGGATTCACCCAACCCGGGCCACCTCAGGCTGAGAGCCAGAGGAGAGGTTTCCCGCCTCGATATTTGCAGTCAGGGTTCTGGTGAGAGTGGGAGTTTCCGCACCTGTGGTAGAGAGAACACTAATTTGGGGGACAGAAACCCAACGAAGAAGGCATGTGACTGGGTGGGAAGCATGACGGTCAGGAATTTGGGGGTCCTGGCAGGGCTGTGCCCTGACCTGACCGGCCACTCCTTCTGTGAAACCTTACGGTTGGCTCACCTGTAAAAGGAGGTATAGCTAGAGCAGGAATAGTAAGAAGGTTTCCTTCCCAATTGATTGGTAGACGTGCCCAGAGCTCTTTCTCAAAAGATCCTACGTGCACCGGTTGAAAAAGCAGCCTGTGTGCCAAACACTTGTCATCTATGTGTTAAGGGATTCTAAAGTCTCCTTCTAGAGCAGCGGTTCTCAACCTGTGGGTCGCGACCCCTTTGGGGGTCGAACGACCCTTTCACAGGGGTCGCCTAAGACCATCGGAAAACACATATATAATTACATATTGTTTTTGTGATTAATCACTATGCTTTAATTATGTTCAATCTGTAACAATGAAAATACATCCTGCATATCAGATATTTACATGACGATTCATAACAGTAGCAAAATTACAGTGATGAAGTAGCAATGACAATAATTTTATGGTTGGGGGTCACCACAACATGAGGAACTGTATTAAAGGGTTGCGGCCTTAGGAAGGGTGAGAACCACTGTTCTAGAGGAATCTGAGACTCTCTAAAACTCCGTTTCCTGAACTAATTTGGACATCCACTTGCTATATGACTTGCAAGTCACTTCATTGCAAAAGTTCTCTTGTGGTTTAAGATGTTGCAGCTGAGATGTGGTGTCTTGTGACATCAGCTTCATTAAGAAAGGGACCTTTTCATGAACCTGCCCCATTCGATATTGTAGGACTGATTCCTCTCAGATAACCACTGGGCTGCACATAGAAAGAAAAGGCACGCCTCTAAGAATGTTCTCAAGTCCGAGCTGGTCATTCCCTCCCTACCCTAATTCCAAATTCATGACATAACTGGCAGGATAGAGTAATGGTTAAGAAGGAAGACTTGGAGCCAGGCTGCCTGGATTTATATCCCAGCTTTGCCACTTTCTAGTCGAGTGAGCTGAGCAAGTGACTTCACCTGTCTGTGCCTCAGTATTCTCATCTGTAAAATGGGGATGGTTATACACCAAATTTATAGGGTGTTGTAAGGATTAAATTTGTTGTCTGTGGAAATTGCTTTGAACAGTGACCTACACACAGTAAGCATTTGGTGGTGGTGGTGGTGGTGGTGGCGGTAGTGATATGGCTGCCTAAGCTGTGGTGGAAAGGTCCTCTGAACCAGGTGTTAGAACACTTGGTTTCTAGCCCTAACACTGCCTTTAACTGTGAGACCTTGAGCAAATCCCTTTCCCGCTGGAGGTATCAGGCTCCAGTTTGGACAATGGTAGTGAATGACCCCCTGCCTCACAGTGGAAAGTGGGTGCTCATGTGAAGGGTGGTACTGAATGGGTCCAGGTCACTGGAGGAGGCGCCCCAGGCAGGCCCTCCCTGAGCAATGACGGGGCCCCTTTCCTCCTTAGCACCCAAGTCCCCCGGGGAGAAGACTCGGTACGACACATCACTGGGGCTGCTCACCAAGAAGTTCATTTACCTCCTGAGTGAGTCCAAGGATGGGGTCCTGGACTTGAACTGGGCTGCTGAGGTGCTGGATGTGCAGAAGCGGCGCATCTATGACATCACCAACGTGCTGGAGGGCATCCAGCTGATTCGCAAGAAGGCCAAGAACAACATCCAGTGGGTGTGAGTGCCTGGGCTGGGGCTGGTGGCACCAGTGACTGCACTGTGCTGGGGGCTGAGCCCGGAGCAGTATCCAGTGGGTGTGAATGTCGGGTGGGGCTGAGAGCAGCATCCAATGGGCACAAGCGGCAGGGGTGGACCAAGAGCAGAATCCAATAGGCTTATACGTTGGGGGCGGAGCCAGTGTATCTAAGAGCAGAGTGGAAGAACAGGTGTATATGCTGGAGCAATATTAGGAGTGCGTGGCAGGCATAGGGTGGAGAATGCTTTCTAGGATGTGTAAAGGCCTCGGAGGACTGCATTCTCTTGAGTCAGGGATCCCAAGATTTCCCTCTTCTAGTTTAGGAACGTCCCCAGGGACCTGAGAGTTAATAACCCAGGCTCCTTCCAGCTCAGAGAGATGAGAACTCCAGGCTCCTCTCCTCACTGCTACAAGGTCTTGAAGAGCAGACCTGCAGCCGCTGGCATGAACCCTAAGAGAACCCAGGCAGGGGGGTCAGGACTGAGGTCATTCTAGCTCCCTGCCATATGGGGGAGGCTGGGGCAAGGGTGGACAGAGTTGAAAGCCCTCCACAAGTGAGGTAATGCCCTGACTTGTTACTTTTCCCTAGCCCAACCCTCAAACATCACGGTTCAATTCCTAGCAGCTCCCTGGGAGCTAGACAGCACTGCTGGTTTGCACAGCCCAGGAGCACCCTTGTAGACCATGAGAATGGCCTCATCCCGGGGATCTACACCATCTGCACATCTGCAGCTCTGCGCAGCAGTACTCAGGTTGGGGTCCCTGGTTGTGCACTTAGACTGACCCTGGGGGGCTGCTCTGTTCCCAGAGGCAGGGGAGCACTCGAAGACCCCACCCGGCCTGGGAAGCAGCAGCAGCTGGGACAGGAGCTGAAGGAGCTGATGAGTGTGGAGCAGGCCTTGGACCAGCTCATCCAGAGCTGCTCTCTGAACTTCAAGCACCTGACCGAGGACAAGGCCAACAAGAAATATCCTCTTTGGTTGGGAGGAGGTTGTCAGGGGCCTGGGCCTGTTGCAAGCTCTCATATCTATCCAGAGCTGATACAATACCTCCCTTGGGGTCTGGCATATCTGCTTTTTCCTTTCTGGGTGGCTTTTCTTCTTGACTCTGTTGAAGTTATTTTCTCATAGTACAAGTAAGACAAGTACATTTCTTTAAATCTGCAAAATGGAGGAAAGAAATAACAGCCACCATAACATTTGTTCTTTTTTTTTTTTTTTTTTTTTAAATATATTTTATTGATTTTTACAGAGAGGAAGGGAGAGAGACAGAGAGTTAGAAACATCGATGAGAGAGAAACATCGATCAGCTGCCTCCTGCACATCTCCTACTGGGGATATGCCCGCAACCCAGGTACATGCCCCTGACCGGAATCGAACCTGGGACCCTTCAGTCCGCAGGCCGACGCTCTATCCACTGAGCCAAACCGGTTTCGGCAACATTTGTTCTTTAAGCATACACAGATTGTATATTATTTAAATACTAGAGGCCCAGTGCATGAAATTCATGCCCTGGGGGGGGGGTGTACCTCAGCCTGGCCTGTACCCTTTCTCAGTCCGGGAGCCCTTGGGGGATGGAGAGCAGGCCTAAGCCATCAGTCAGACATCCTTAGCGCTACCATGGAGGCAGGAGAGGCTCCCGCCACTACCGTAGTGCTCGCCAGCCATGAGCCCGGCTTCTGGCTGAGCAGCGCTCCCCCTGTGGGAGCACTGGTCACCAGGGAGCAGCTCCTGCATTGAGCATCTGCCCCTGATGGTCAGTGCACGTCATAGCAACTGGACGTTCCGATGTTCGGTCGATTTGCATATTAGCCTTTTATTATATAGGATAGTGTGTGACTGCTGTGCATAACACTTTATATCCTGCTTTTCTCCCCTTAGTATACTACCATAGACAGTTTATATGAGTTACAAATCCTTCCTAACTATGTGGTAGATCCACATGAAATTGTTGATATTGAACCATTTTTTATCTACAAAAACAGCAATCTCATGTGGTTTAACCTCATATTTAAAGTAGTTTGTTTGAGAATATCCTACTCAGATTACACTCTGGTTTGTTGATAAGGCCTAAAATCAACATTTAGATCTATGCTAGATTTCTGCTCCTATGAAGCAACAAAATGATGAATGCCTTTGTATATAGAACATTGTCCTCCTTTTAAAAAACTTATTTCCCTGGGTCAGATTCCTAGGTTTGAAATGATGAGGTCACAGAGTATGGACTTTGCTAAGGCCTTTCATCCATTCTCCCCAAATAGTTTCACCATCTAATTGGTTTTTGGATATGGCTTTGTATTTTTGGACAGATGCTAGGCATTGTGAAAATTTTAAATAAATAAGAACATCTTCCTTACTGAAAATCAGCAAGTGCAATAAAGACAGGATTATAAAGGGGGAAAAAAGACATATCTTCCTGCATTCTCTAGTTTGAGAGGTGAAGCCTGTTATGTAAAACCTGATAAAAGGCAGCATTTAAAAAAATGATTTATATCCTCATTTGCTTTCTAAAGGGATCCAAGGTAACTTATGATATTAAAAGAACAGGTTACAGTTTGGGGTTACTTCTGGGATTATAAAAGGAGTGAGAAAAAAATGTTCAGAGGCTTAGGAGAAGTGGATTGGATCCCTGCCTGGCGGGCTGGGGTGTGAATTTTGACTTCCTTGACTCTCCTGCCCCCTACACTGGCCTATGTGACTTACCAGGACATCCGTGCTATCAGCACCTTTAAGGAACAGACAGTGATCGCTGTCAAGGCCCCTCCGCAGACAAGACTGGAAGTGCCTGACAGGAATGAGGTGAGAGGGGAAGTATTTGGTGGTGAGCAGGGTGAGGAGGGTGCCGGGAAGCTCTGCAGTCTCTGTCCCAGGCACTGCTCAGCCCCAAGCTACCCCAGTCCGTGCTGGTACCCACGGCAGGATTGGTGGTCTCTGAACTGGGGCAGAAATGACAGAAGCTGGAAAGGGCAACAGATTCTGGCCTGAGAAAAACCTCTGTTTCTGGTTTCTCTCTGCACCCCACCAGCCCCTGTGGTTCTGCACACACGCACATGTGCCCACACACAGCAAGCAGCGTTAGTATTCACAGTAATCCTTTCATGCCAACCATGCTGTCCTGGATTAAAAGACCCTGGATTAAAGACCAAAATCATTTTTTTTAAAATTGATTTTAGAGAGAGAGGAAGGGAGAGAGAAACATCAATGAGAGAGAGAGAGAAACAATGATCTGCTGCCTCCTGCATGCCCCCATGTGCCCTGACCAAAATCGAACCAGTGACCTCTCAGTGCACCGATGATGCTCAAGCAACTGAGCCAGGGGCAGGACCAAAATTCCTGACACTCCCCAGGAGGCCCTCTCTGCTCTGACTCTGCCAACCTCCTCTCGCATGCTGCTCCTCTTCTCTGTCTTTGCTTCAGCCACCCACCTGCCTGCAGTTTCCCCATCACGCTAAGCTCGTCCCCAGTGCAGGACCTTCACACATGCTGTTCCCTCCAGCTGAGATGCTCTTCCCTCTCTCTGCCTGGTTTACTGCTATTGATCCTACACGTCTCAACTGGAGCATCACTTCCACCAGGAAGCCTTCCCTGATCACCCCCAGACTTCATAACCAATATCTTAGTGCTTACATGACTGTGTTCTTCTTCGTCCATTAGAGTATAAACTCCACAAAAGTACGTTCCTCTCATGTGGGTTATTTCTGAGCTATATAAGGAGTGAGAAACGTCCAACTCAGAGCCTGATAAAGGCTCAAGAAGTAATTTGTTTAATGGAAGAACTTTAAGATAAATAAGGCCCCGCCCACCGCCTGAGCAGAGCTCAGAACCTAGAGAGGACAAGACCCAAGCAAGCAGGGATGCTGTGATTTATATATAGATGGAAGATGTGCTTTGAGGGCCGGGAGAAAGGAGAGTTGGAGGATGCACCCATAGGTGGTGACAGTTAAACTGGGTCCTAAAGAATGAATAGGATTTTTTTTAAACATTAATATTTCAAGAAAAACTATTTTAAATATGTTACATGCAATAAACATTAATTAATATTTCAAGAAAAAAATATTTTGAAAGGATTTTGTTTTTAAACTGTCTTATTTACTTACTTACATGTAGTTGTACACAATATTGTGTTAGTTTCAGGTGTACAATATAATGACTCGACAGTGGTATACCTTCCAATGTGATCACCACACTAGGTTTATTAATCACCTGTCAAACTTATCTCAGTGTTATTGAGCAGGATGTTTGCCGGGTGGAGTAGGGGAAGGAGGGTGCTGCAGGAATGGCGGGTGTGTAGTCAGCTGTGGCTTAGGCTGCCGGTGTGTGGTGGACAAGAGGCAGGGGTGGGAAAAGCCAAGCATCAGGACTCATGGTTACGGGGAACAGAAAGACAAGTCCCACTGGCTTCCGTGCGAGGGGAGAGGGGAAGTGAGTGACGGGTCCAGGGGGAGTGTGGATTGCAGGCAAGGCTGGACCCAGGGGCTCACATTGACTCCAAGTTCATCTCATGCTCGTCCTCTCACTGTGCCATTCTCTCTGCTGACTCAGTTCCCAGGTGGGCTCTCCCCTTGCGGCAGGGATCGTGTTCGTGATACCAGCTCAGCAAGCCCAGTGCGAAGGGAGCTTCCATTTCCAGGTCCTGGGCCTGATGCTGGGTGGACTGAGCTGAGTCACGTACCATCCTGCGCAGTCACTGTCACTTTCTCATCCTGCATCCCAGGCTCGCCCATTGGAGCTGGGGCAAGGTGCTGCCTCCCGCTCCCTACATGACGCGAGTGGAGGAAGAGTGATTTCCCAGAAAAAATCCAGGCTTTCTCCCTAAGAAGAGGCCTGGGGGCCAGGCAGGCAGAAGCAGCAGGTGTTGACCACAGGCCTCAGGGCCCAGCTCGGGAGTTGAGCTTGCTCACATGTGTCCATCCATATATGCTGACCCATGAGTAAGTGTGCAGCTGCCCAGAGCCATGACCTGGCTTCTCTTCCTCCTCCAGGAAAACCTGCAGATATATCTGAAGAGCACGCAAGGGCCCATCGAAGTCTACTTGTGCCCGGAGGAGATGCAGGAACCAGACAGCCCTGCCAAAGAGCCTGTCTCCTCCACGCCCACCCTCAGCCCCACTCCTGACTCTGCCCAGCCCTGCAGCAGCACCAACCCTGGGATCCTGGAACCCACGGCATCCCCAGGTAGGGCCCTCTGTCCAGAGGAACAGAAGGTGGGGAGTGCAGCTGGCCTCGGTTTCCTCTTCCACACCAACATTTGTTGGGTATCGACCTGCCACCCAGCGGCCGGGGTGTAGTCCTCCCGCACGTGTGTGCATGCACTCTACACTCTAAAGCACGTGTGCTTTCCCTGTCTCATTGGCAGGCCGAGCCTGCTTCAGGGCAGAGGGGCTTGGATTTGAATCCCAGCTCCTCCACTTACCAGCTATGTGACCTTGAACAAGTTATTTGACCTCTCTCTGCCTCAATCTCCTCATCTGTAAGTTGGGCTTAGTAATTAATAGTATCTACTTCATAGGTCGTCGTAAAAATTAAACGAGTTAATACATCTAAAGCACTTAGAACTATGCCTAGCAATAAAAGATGGCTGTTATTATCATTGTGACTGCCACTGCCACTAGCACTGCTGCTTCTGAGACAGCTACTAACAGCCAAGCCCCAACACTCAATGAGCCCACAGTGAATGGAAACTATAGGTTTTATGAGGAAGGCTCAACACGTTCTTGGGTGAGAATAACTAAGGTTTATTGAACCACGACTGTACCAGATACACCCATTCTTACATTATCCTCACAGCAATTCTTCAGGTAGGTTTTATTATTCCCAGTTTAGAGATAATAAGCTGAGGCAGAGAGGAGTTGTGACTTGCCCCAGGCCTCCCAACTGGGAGACAACAGAGCTGTGTCTTTGAACCTTAGCCTCCACATTCCTAGCCCAGTGCTGTCTCCACACAGCACAGAACAAATCAGGGCAGGGGATCCTGGCTCAGCCCTGGCTGGGATGTGGACGGAACAGCGAACAGCTGGCTACACTTGGCAGGAAGTAGTAGGAGGCAGCTGCCAGGGAGGAAAGAGGTAGGAGAGGCCCCTGCGGGCTTCCCAGGGAGGGTGGGATTCCGGAAGGAGTAGAAATGGGAACCTGTGAAGGCCCCGCCACGAGAAGGGTTTTTCCCTTTACTGGGTTCAGGCATTGGCTCAGACTGGCAGGATTCTTCGAGGCCTTGTAGGCCAATGTTCCACTTTCTGTGTTCTTAGCAGAATTTCCTACAGTAAAACCCTGGTGTTTAAACAAATGCAGAGCTAGAACCGGTCTGATGGAAGAGGCGTGTTTGGGACGATCTACAGAACATAGATTGGATTACATTTCTTTATTTAACTCAAGGATTGACAAACTATTGCCTGCTGGTCAAATGTAGCCTGTTTTTACATGGTTTGTGAGCTAAGAATGGTTTTCCTATTGTTAGAGAGTTGTAGGGGGGAAAGAAAGTGACTGTGATAGAGACCGTAAGTGCCCTGCAAAGCCTAACATACTACCAGCCCTTTACAGAAGCTTGCTGACCCCTGATCTAACGCAACCCTTCATTTTACATACAAGTAAAACTGAAGCCCAGAGAGGGCCAGTGACTTCCCTAAGGTCACACAGCACGTTGGTGGTAGAACTTGGGCAATAGCCCAGACTCCCAGCTCTACTCTAGTGATCTCTCCTGAGTCCTGGCCTGGCCCGGGGACCAGGGCTTCTCCCTGCACCAGCCATCTGTCCCTCCGGGCACCTCCCAGTGCCTATCTCCAACTCCAGACCTGTGCCCCACCCTGTGCTCCCTCCTGCCTCGTCTGCCTTCTCACTCCACTGTCAACAAGTGCACAGCTGTCCAAAGTTAAAACTACTTTCACTTCCGTTGTCCTCTGAGACCTTGGGCAGAGGTGGGGGACCCTCCGACATAAGCAAGGGCAAGGTTTTCAGCTCAGTTGTACAGATTAACAGCCTGAGGCCCAAAAGGAGCAGTGGGTGGTGGGGCCCGCCCAGAAGCCAGCTCTGGGCTGGAGCCAGTGCCATGGCTGTCCCTCTCCACATTGGCCCTGTGGCCTCACAGTGTTCTCCCTGCTGAGGGAGCAGGAGGAACTTTCTGGGCGGTGTACACCTATGGAGTGTGTGTGCGAGGAGAGGGGATAGTGCGGGAGAAGGGGGGCAGGTGCTGGAGCTGGTGCCGGGAAAGGGAGGGTGTCCCTGGGTGGGAGAGAAGAGAAGCGTACACAGTCATCCGGAGAACCGGAGGGCTGTTCTTGTGCTCTGAGGTCTGACCAGAGGCTTCTGGGCACGAGGGCCAGTCATAACCCTTGTCTATTTGTCTCCAGCGCCATCGCTGACTTCCCAGCAGGTCCTGCTGCTGCCACCGTCCCTTGTCCCCCTGGAGGCCACGGACAGCATGCTGGAGCTGCCGCAGCCCCTTCTGCAGCAGACCGAGGACCAGTTCCTGACCGACAGCTCCCCTCTCATCAGCTTCTCTCCGCCCTTGGACCAAGATGACTACCTATGGGGCCTGGATGGGGGTGAGGGCATCAGCGACCTCTTCGACTCCTATGACTTTGGGGACCTGCTGATTAACTGAGTGACCCTGCCTGACCCCAGCCGCTCCGCCACTGTCTCTACCTCCTCACAGGCAGACTGACAGGCCTCTGCCTGCACGGGGACCTTGGACACAGATGCTACCCTTAGGGCACGGGGGTCTCCTCTCCTTCCTGTCCCCGCGTCCTGCCAGCCGAAGCTGCCGGGGGGGTTGTGGAGGGTACGGGTGAAGATCGTATCAGGGGTGGGGTCCTGTCCTTCCTAGTGGAAGCTGGGCCTGGGAAGGCCCATTCAGTCTTCTGACCTCTGACCTCTAATGTGAAGGGGCCACAGATGAGGTGACCAGGTCCAGGGAAAGGCCCTGCCACTGCCTTCTGAGGGGTAATTCGGACCCTCAGTGTACCGCAGAGCACTTACTGCCTTTGTATTTATTTCAGGTTGAGTTTTGTTTGTGTGTCTTCCCTGGGTTTTAGCAGGGTCATCGTTCTGGTTCCAGTAAGACCTCCGACAGGCCAGCACCGTCTGCTGTGCCCGGGCACCTGGGCTCCCAGGGACGCAGGCCAGCTCCCCGGCCGCCCCGCCGCGTGGGGGCGGGGCCCCTGAGCGCCTGTCCAGGCTTCTGGACCTCACTGCACTTCTGCTCCTAATTCTAGATGGTTCCAGGGAGCCGTCCCAGCACGGGTGGCACTGGAGCTCCCGAGGAAACCGGAATAGCCAGCTCAGGAGCCTCCCTCCCTGTGGAATCCCTGTTTCCCTGCCTGAGAATGTAAAAGTGATCCTCGAGGGAGAGCAGGGTGCTCCCGAGGACGAGGGACAGGACGTGGGGGCAGCGCCGTGGCTGCTGCAGGCCCCTCCTCCGTTTTGGCCTCTCGCTGGGACTGTGTTACACGGAGGACCGGGAGGCAGAGGCCGCACGTGGAGGAGAAGGGTAAGATGAAGACAGGGAACCGCCAGCACACACCCCTCTAGCTGCAGGTGTCCCTCTCCCTTCCCTGGAAGGATTTTAGTTTTTGGTTTTTGTTTTTTGTTTGTTGTTGAAGGGGTGATTCTTTAAGGACCCCCTTCCCCCCAGCTCTCACACAGACCCCCAGGGACAGAGGTGACCAGGGCTGGATGGCATGTTGGCTCCTTTTGTCACAGGAATGCAGAAGGGGGGGTGAGGGGGGGGGTCTTCGTTGCAACCAGACTTAGCAGCTAATGGGGAGATGGGCTTGTGTTACCTCTTCAGACCTGGGGTTCTGAGGTCTTTATCCCTCACCCTGTCCCCCCACCCCACCTGGGCTGAACCGAGGCTGTGCCTTCTGGAGGGAGGCAGCAGGGGCAGTGGTCTGAGGCCTATACCCCCCACCCTCAGGGAGCTAGGTTTACTTAGGGTCTCAGATAGGTAGCACTTTTTTTTTTATGTTTGTAGCATTAAGTTGGTTTAAAACATGAATTTGGCTTCCAGGGTTGGCTCCTGGCCTGGCCGACGGGCATCTGGAGTTTGGGAGGTGGGCTTCTCTGGGGCTGGGGTCCCAGGTGAGCTGATGCCCAGCTGGGGACAGTTGTGCCTTGTCATTTGCAGGTCAAAGGTGCCCGGTTCTAGAATTTTGTAGGATTTACAGAAATGCTTTTGGCCTCCCTGCCTCCACAGGTCCGCAGGGCTCTCGTCAGAAGCCTGTTTTGAAGCTCAGCGTGGCAGGGCCACCTTGGCCCTTGCGGGAGAAGGGCGCGCTGCATGGGATCTGGTTTGGGGCATGTGGGGCTGGCGGTGGCGTTGCTGTTCTGCGTTCTTTGCTGGGCTGCTGTTCAGCCACTCACCATCTCTGAGGGCAGGGTTGTTGGACTTCCCTGCCTTGGGCTCTATCTAGAGCTTTCTCCTGGAATTAAACCAGAGAAAAGGAAGGAGAGGCCTGGAGGACCCACCGGGAATGAGTTTGAAGGGTGAAATCTGGCCAGAACTGAGGCTCATTCTCCAGATGCCCAGCCATAGGGTTGGACAGAGGGGCTGCCCCTTGGGTGCATGGCCTGTATTCTGAGCAGCTGCCCTCCCTCTCCTATGTTGTCCCCTGCCTGGCCCAGCGGCTGGCCCACCAAGGCCAAGCCTCAGGCTCTGGGTAGGATACAAGCTTGAGCCTCTTTCTTACTAAAGACACTTGGAAACCTCCCAAGTTCACTCAAGTGCTTTTAGGACACATTTTGAGGAGTATTTCCTTGAGATGCCAGGTAAACTTTAAAACAAGGTCAGAAGAAAAACCAGGTTCTTTCTTTTTTTTTTTTTAATATATTTTATTGATTTTTTTACAGAGAGGAAGGGAGAGGGATAGAGAGCTAGAAACATCGATGAGAGAGAAACATCGATCAGCCGTCTCCTGCACACTCCCCACTGGGGATGTGCCCTCAACCAAGGTACATGCCCTTGACCGGAATCAAACCTGGGACCCTTGAGTCCGCAGGCCGACGCTCTATCCACTGAGCCAAACCAGTTAGGGCAAAAACCAGGTTATTTCTAAGGTACGTTATTTCTGCCAGGAAGTTCCCCAGCCCCTAAGTCACCTGTGTCCCCAGGGCATCAAGGGCTCAGGGCTCCAGGGAACCCCGTCGTATTGGATTGTTGAATAGAGTCAGCGACTCTAAGAGATTTCTTCAAACAGGGACATGCTCCCGTGCCCCTTCTCATTGGAAGTGTGAGCTAGACCAAAGTGGTTTCCCTTCCCCACTGCAATGCTGTCTGCCCCCTGCGGCTGCGGGGAGGAAGGGGGGCTGGTGAAGCTCTAACGCTGGTCCTGGGATGGTTTGGGCTTTATTTCCTCCCCACGTGTTCTCAGCATCAGTTCTGCACAGGGTTTAGAGTTTTTAGTGAGAGTTTGGATGTCCCCGCGTCCGAGCAGCGTGTGGCTTAGTGCATTTGAAGTGAAAGCCTTTTGGGGTTGTTTGCAAGTAGCTTTCTGGTTCTCGTCATTATGTCCCGAGGTCCCCGCCTCATTGTGGGACCCTGTTCTCCCAGCGGGGCCCTCAGTCACCAGAAGCCCGGCCAGCCTGGGTGCGGGAAGAAGCCTTGTATGCGCCACATGCATCTCGAGGGTGAGCACACCCGAGGGGCCTGTTCTCGGTGCTGGGACCCTACGGGCCACTTCCCTCCGGCCTGGTTTCGCCCTGGGCCCCACTTTGATGAAGACCGTGTAAACCTCTGTGAATTGTGATCATCGAGCATTAAACAGCAACTCCAGGCGCCTTGGCTCTTGTGCTTTCTGAAGGTCATTACCCGTGTGGGTCGGGTCCCCCCAAGTCGGGCGTGGGGACTGTTCTGACCAAGCCTCCTGTTCCCACACTGGCTTATTCCCATGCCTGAAACCTCACTGTTAAGACCCTGAAAAGGTGGCAGCCCCCAGGTCTAAAAAGCGAGTGCCTGCCTGGCTCTGCCTCCACCACCTCTCGCCTGGGCCATTTCCTTAATATCCTCTCTGCTACCCACCCCCTATCGAATCCTCCCTAGCAGTGTTTTTGTTTTGTTTTTTGTTAATCTTCACCCGAGGACATTTGTTTCATTGCTTTTTAGACAGAGTGGAAGGGAAGGGGAGAGAGAGAGAATCAGCAATGTGAGAGACACACTGATTGGATGCCTCCTGCACACACCCAGTTGGGGTCAGGGATTGAGCCTACAGCTGAGATCTGTGCCCTTGACCAGAATGAAACCCAGGATCCTTCAGTCCACGGGCCGATGCTCAATCCACTGAGCCAAACGCACTAGGGATAGCAGTGGTTTTTACTTTATTTTTTTTATTATTATTTTTAAACTTAAAAAAAAATACATTTCCATTGATTTCAGAGAGGAAGGGAGAGACAGAAACATCAACGATGATGGAGAATCACCAATTGGCTGCCTCCTGCATGCCCCCCACTGGGGATCGAGCCCACAACCCACGCATGTGCCCTTGACTGGAATCCGGGGACCCTTCAGTCCACAGGCTATTCACTGAGCCGAACTGGCCAGGGCTAGCAGTGGTTTTTAAAGCGTGGTCCTCAGACCGGCGTTACCTGGGAACTTATGAGAAATGCATATTCTCAGTCCTCATTCGAGACCCTCTGAAGAAGAAACTTGGGGTAAGACCCAGAACCTCATCTTAGTAAGCCCTCCGGGTGATTCTGATGCAGCCGAAGTTAGAGGACCACGCCCTCTGGTACCCCAGAGAGATCGTTCTAAAACACAGTTCTAGTTACACCGCTCCCCCACTTAATGGTGGCTCCTCTCTGCCCTGAGGACGAAACCTCCGCCTTTGCTTGGCGTGAGGGCCCGTGTACAACCTTACCGCCGGCTGGCCCTACCTTTCCAGCCTCACTGCCACTCCTCCCACCACCAGGCCACACCGAGCGTCCTTATTAGCACCTGGAAACAACCTGCCTCCTCTCTTCCGGGCCTTTGCACCTGCTGGCACTCCGCTTGGCATGTGCTTCTCTCCGTTTCAGCTGAACAGGCTCTTGGTTATTCTTCAAGGCCCAATTGAAGAATCTTTTGTAGTTTTCCTTGACACTCACATGTAAACTTAAATACTTTGTATATGGAAGGTTGCTTATGCTAAGCACCGGGGAGATAGAAGGGAATAAGGTTAGTCCTCCTCTTCAGGATGCTCACAGTACACAGACAAAAATATAATTACAAATGTGGCAGTTGCAGTAATAAGCATTATAGGAGTTGAGGGGACACTAGGGAAGGCTTCCTGGAGGAGGTGATGTCCAAACTATGTCTTAACGGATAAACGGAATAGCCTGGGGTTGGGCATATGGGGGATCAGAATCCTCCCAAGCAGAGCCATCAGTAACTTCTGTCCTGTGGTCCAGGAGACAGAGGTGAGTATCACAGAGCACTGCCCGCTGCCCCAACTCTGCCAATTTGGAGCTCTTGCCCAGAAAAGCCCCCTGAGTCAAAGAGGTTGACACAGATCCTAAGGGCAGTGGGATGGGGGACAAGGTCTGGGGGTCCTGTTTGACCATAGGGGTTGACTAATGAGAAGGGTCTGGAACTTGACACCAAGAAGTCAGTTTACATGGAAGGCATGAAGACAATCCCTTCCAGGTAAGGAAAGCAAGGTCTAATTGGGGACATTAGCATAGACAAGGGAACATTAAAATATGCCATTTATTAAGCCTTTTGGGTGGCGAGGCCCAGCACTGTGCTAAGTCCTTGATGCATAATCTCATTTAATGTTCACTTAATGAAGTCAGTGTCGTTGCCACTTTACAGGTGAGGAAACACTTTTAAATATGTTCCCAGGTAGCCCTCACGCTTTGCTGGTGGGACTGTAAAATGGTATAGCTATTTTGGAAAAACAGTTTGGCAGTTCCTCAAAAAGATAAACATAAAACTCTCACAGGACCCAGTAATTCCATTCCTAGGTGTCTACTCAAGAGAAATGAGAACATGTCCATGCAAAGACAGGACTTGCACATGAGTGTTCATAGCAGCATTATTCATAATAGCCCTGAACTGGAAACAGCTTAAGTATCCATCAACTGGAGAACAGAGACAAATGCTGGATCCATGCAGTGGAACACTGTTCAGCCATGAAAGGATACACTATGGATGCTCAAAAGCAATATGCTAAGTGAAAGAAGCCAGTCCCCAAAGATAACATCCATCCATCTGTATGACGTCCAGAATAGGCAAATCTACATATAGACAAAAAACAATAAATTAGTGGTTGCCTGAGATTAGAGGTAGCAGTGAGATTAACTATAAATGGGCATGAGGGCTCTTCTGCATAGAGATACAAAAATATTTCAAAAAACAAATAAAAAACACTAGCAAACCAAATCCAGCCACATAAATAAAAAGAATTAGACCCTAGGGCATTTATCCCAGGAATGTAAAGTTGGTTTAAAATCTGAAAACTAGGAGAACCAAGATGGCGGCATAGGTTAACGCCGGAGTTTGCTGCTTTGAACAACTACTTCAAAAGTGAAACCAAAAAACGGAAGGGACATCACCCAGAACCACAGGAATGCTGGCTGAGTGGAAGTCCTACAACTAGGAGGAAAGAGAAACGCATACGGACACTCAGAGGAGGCGCAGTGCTTAAGTCAAATTCTGAGGTGCAGAGTGCGGAGCGGGCTGGCGGCGGAGGGCGCGGTTGGCGTTTTCAATCGGGAGGGAGTCGCAGACTCTGAGCTCCAGATCCGGGCGAGTCTTTAGGGACCCAGACTCAAACGGGAGAAGCGGGACTGTCTGGCTTCGGTCAGAGCGAGTGCAGCTTTCTCTCTGAGCTTTGCAGCGGGTGCTGGGACTCAGAGAGGCAGAGCCCCTGGGGACAGGACTGAGAGCCGCCATAACTGCTCTCTCCGGCCTACCCTGTTGATCCTGTGCGACCCGCCCCACCCAAGCCCTGCACACAGGCATTTGCCGGATAGCCTCAGGCAAAGGCTAGATTAGCACCTCCCTAGAGGACAGAAGTTCTCTCACTGCTGACACAGCTGATTCTCATAGCCGCTTGGCCTGGAGGTCAAACCCTCCCTGGAATTAGCTACAACAATCAAGATTTAACTATAAGACTGCGAACAAAGACCACTAGGGGGTGCACCAAGGAAGCATAACAAAATGCGGAGACAAAGAAACAGGACAAAATTGTCAATGGAAGATATAGAGTTCAGAACCACACTTTTAAGGTCTCTCAAGAACTGTTTAAAAGCCGCCGATAAACTTAATGAGATCTACAAGAAAACTAATGAGACCCTCGATCTTATATTGGGGAACCAACTAGAAATTAAGCATACACGGACTGAAATAACGAATATTATACAGACTCCCGACAGCAGACCAGAGGAGTGCAAGAATCAAGTCAATGATTTGAAATGCGAGGAAGCAAAAAACACCCAACCGGAAAAGCAAAATGAAAAAAGAATCCAAAAATGCGAGGATAGTGTAAGGAGCCTCTGGGACAGCTTCAAGCGTACCAACATCAGAATTATAGGGGTGCCAGAAGATGAGAGAGGGCAAGATATTGAAAACCTATTTGAAGAAATAATGACAGAAAACTTCCCCCACCTGGTGAAAGAAATGGACTTACAGGTCCAAGAAGGGCGGAGAACCCCAAACAAAAGGAATCCAAAGAGGACCACACCAAGACACATCATAATTAAAATGCCAAGAGCAAAAGATAAAGAGAGAATCTTAAAAACAGCAAGAGAAAGAAACTCAGTTACCTACAAGGGAATACCCATACGACTGTCAGCTGATTTCTCAACAGAAACTTTGCAGGCCAGAAGGGAGTGGCAAGAAATATTCAAAGTGATGAATACCAAGAACCTACAACCAAGATTACTTTATCCAGCAAAGCTATCATTCAGAATTGAAGGTCAGATAAAGAGCTTCACAGATAAGGAAAAGCTAAAGGAGTTCATCACCACCAAACCAGGATTATATGAAATGCTGAAAGGTATCCTTTAAGAAGAGGAAGAGGAAGAGGAAGAAAAAGGTAAAGATACAAATTATGAACAACAAATATGCATCTATCAACAAGTGAATCTAAGAATCAAGTGAATAAATAATCTGGTGAACAGAATGAACTGTTGATTATAATAGAATCAGGGACATAGAAAGGGAATGGACTGACTATTCCTGGGGGGAAAAGGGGTGTGGGAGATGAGGGAAGAGACTGGACAAAAATCATGCACCTATGGATGAGGACAGTGGGTGGGGAGTGAGGGCGGAGGGTGGGGCGGGAACTGGGAGGAGGGGAGTTATGGGGGGAAAAAAAAGAGGAACAAATGTAATAATCTGAACAATAAAGATTTAATTAAAAAAAAATAATAAAATCTGAAAACTAGTTAATGCAAAGAACCATATCAATAAAGGATGAACCACATGGTTGTCTAATAGATGCAGAAAAAATATTTAACAAAAATCAACACTCCTTTGTGATAAAACAAAACAACAACAACCCTCAACATGATAAAGAGCATCTATGAAAAACCCATAGCTAGCATCATACTTAATTGTGAGATCCCAAATACTCCCCCTCCCACATCCCATCCCCTGCCAGATCAGAAACCAAAGATGTCTACTTCCTCCATTCTGTTCAACATTGTGCTGGAGGTTCTACCCAGGGCGATTAGGCAAGAAAATGAAATAAAAGGTACCAGGTGAGAAGGAATGAAAATTAGCTCTATGCCGAAACCGGTTTGGCTCAGTGGATAGAGCGTTGACCTGCGGACTGAAAGGTCCCAGGTTCGATTCCGGTCAAG